ACTGCTGATCAAAGGGTCCTATACGCACAAAGGCACACAACAAACATCCTTGGTCAGGAAGAGAGTAACCCTAGATGGTTCACCCTAGATAACACGATGAGGAAGTCCAACAGTTCATTTATAAACAAAGAGCACTTAGACTAAAACAGACATACGTGTGTTTGCTATACCATAAATCAATAAGAAAAGATAAACCCTCTCCTAGGGGGTATGTGATTTATAGCAGGACACTCGTGTAGAGGAATGTACACAGAGTTAATACAGACCTCTTTTAGGATGAGACATCCTTTCAATCTACCAATGATTATATACTTCTAAGCATATATAAGTAAATGTTTCTAAGCATAAATGACAATCAACAATACAAAATCGAACACCTGGAGTCTCTTGTTCTTCCTCACAGGTTCTCTAAAACGACGGCCAGAGTCAAACTCACTTCAAGCAATTTATAATAAAAAGAGCCTTCCTTCCTCTTCCTTATATCTTTGACTATAGCTTCAATTTGCACACATGAACTTTGTTTAGCACTCTGTATCACTTTAAACTTAAAAGGCCAGATGTCTTTTTACCCTCTCAGACTTAATAAGAGGCGAGCAGGGAGGGCTTCATTCTCTCAGTCCAGCCTTTCTCGACTGGAAGGCAGCCTTCACCTTCCACTTCTTCTCTGGCTCCTCTGTGAGCTCTCGGTATTCCTCGAGCTTCTCACATTCCTTCTTCCTGGTGTTTCTACCACTTGGTATCACTACATCGATCCCTACAGCCTTCTTCCTCTACTTGTTCTTCCCATTCAGCTGACTCCTCAGGATGTTTCTTACGCTCTGCAGGTATTTTGTGGTTGAGACTTTCCGAGCAGTTTGGTTTCCCTCTGTGACACCAAGGTACTTGAAACTGACATCCATTGTTAGTCAGTGGTACCAGCTTCAGTCATTATGCAAATGTACCGGAAAACACAACAAGTTTTAACCGTCTAGCTTTGATTGGAGGTTATGTTGAAGAATTTGGAGATCATTGTCGTTCTTCATTATTCTAACCACTTTGTGCAATGTACCGGTACCACTGGCAGCCAAACAGCTCCAGAGCCAGATGTTATCACCATCATCAAGGTATAAATAATATGCTTCATTTTAAAAGCCCTAACTGTCATGAACAGTCAGGGCAGGATTGGACCCTGAATGCAGACAAGATCATTATATCAATAAGAGAACAGAAAGAGAAAAGTCACAACACAAACTAACCTGTCTAAAGGAAGAAACAACACAACCAACAACCAGAAGCACTTCTGTGGCCGGCCAGCCTTCACTAGTAGCAGCAAAAAAACATCTACACTGTTCCCGAAACTGTCAAAACGACTGTGTCTTTCCATTCTGCTCAGCAGAATCTCAGACTCTAGAGAGCAGAGAAAATTGCAAGTGGACCTCAAACAGACTTTATAATGTTTTATGGCTAACTGCTCAGTGAGTCCAGGTGCAGGCTGGGAAAAATGAGCAGCAGAGGAAGAGAAACAGCACCTCACCTGCACATCCCCATTGCATGTAACAGAGGCCAGATGGTTCAGTTTTTGTCTCATCTGGCCATAAACCTGTCCTGCAGAAAGGCTATTCATTGTGAGCAGCTGCTAAGATCGTCAGCTGAAACAAGTATGTAAGTTTATGTTATTTGGATGTTTCACGGCTTTGGTGTTCTTCTGAAAGGTGACTACAAATGTCACCCTTAGATAAGAAGAAACTGGTTGGGATGTCTGTCTTTTGTTAATTTACATTTACGAGTTAAAATTTGCTCCCATAAAAGTTAAACAGACATTTTAAAATCACCATTGTTGTCTTTACAAATGCAGGTCCACCTGGGGATCAAGGACCAGGTGCAAAGGGAGAGAAAGGTGACCCTGGCAGTCCAGGTAAGGTTTTTGGTTAAATTCATTGCAGCCGTGTCTCGGATTCACTCAAACTCAAACTGAAGCAGATTATACACTAGGGCGACCAATCATCCTCTTTCTCTGCACTTGTTGACTTGTAAAAGACTATATGACATTTTTTATTTCACCATTCATTAACCGCACAGAGAAGGCATCGTTTAAATATGTCAAAGTTTTCTTTAAGGCAAAAAGAATTTTCTGGCACAACTTCACCTGCTTCCAAGGTGCATGGAGAGGATAAAAAAATTCACAAAGCAGAAACTCCAGCAACACTTGAGGGAAGATGAACAACTTTAATAATAGATGTTTCGGCTTGTGGCCTTCATCAGGGTCCTGATGAAGGCCACAAGCCCCTACGCCCCACCAGCGTAGGGGCTGACAATGGATCCCTGGTTTTCATCCCAATCACTAATGGCAGTTATGGTGCCACCGCCTAGGCCAGGGCTGTCGAACTAATTTTACATTGCAGGCCACGTACGACCCATCTAAGCGGTCGGAGCGGTGAAGCTCCCCTTTCTGTCAGTGTAAAGAAGTTTCATATTTAACAGTTTTTCTACATGATAAAGAAAAGAAACAAAATAAATATTTATATTAGAAAGTGAAAATCAGAAACTTTGTTTTTCACAAAGTTACAGAGGTTTTATTAGAAATTGCTATGCGTTTAGCAATTTGGCATAATTCACTACCAATAAAAGGTTAAATTTTTTTGTAGTGAATAGCAGGAATTAGGCTTTCTTGTCAGAAGTCATTTTAGGAAAACAGAAAAACAGCAGCCAGCAGCACTGTACACAACTGGTGCGTAATAAACAAGTAAATAAGGCAGATAATAAAGATTTTTGATGGGAAACTGGTCCTGAAGCACACAGAGATGGAGCTGATTTGGTGAATTTGGCTCGCAGAGTGATCAATCCTGCAGTTCTGCAAGATGTCTGTTATGACTTTACATGCCTTTATACACCTCCCTTTGTTAATCCGTTCAATACTTTCTCCCTGTGTCAATTCTCATTATTACACATAATTTATGGACACATATGGTTTGATTTCTGTGCATGTATGGATAGGATGGGTTGTTACTGTTGTTACTGATTCTCTGGTGAGAATTTTATGTCAGTACCACCTTCAGAAATATATTGTCTTGAACGTATACACAAAACTGAATGTGTACACAAAACTGAATGTGTACACAAAACTGAACGTATACACAAAACTGAATGTGTACACAAATCCAGAAATAAACGGACTGAAAATTATTTAAGGCTTTTCTAGCCTAACTGAGCACTCAGAACACTGGTGGATACACTGAGGGCAATTTGAACTTCATCCCTCTTCTTTTCTTTGTAGGTCACAGCAAACCTTATTTGAAAATGGAAATACTTTGCATTTACTGTATACGTCATTGTTTTAGTCTTACTGAGTATCAAAAAAATAATCACAGCGTGTCACTTGTGCTGTATTTTGACAAGTTATTGCCTTATTCCATAATGAATTAAATTCATTTTCACCTCAAAGTTCTACACTCAATACCCAATAAGACAAAGTGACAAAAGTTTTCTTGCAATTCTTGCAAATTTATTAAAAATAAAAAACAAAAATATAACACGTGCATAAACATTCACAGCCTTTGCTGAATACATTTTCTGGTGTAACTTTGGCAGAACTGTCGCAAGTCTTTTAAGTATAATGCTTCATGCTTGGCACACTTTTTTGGGCAGTTTCTCACAGTCTTCTTAGTAGATCCTCTCGGGCTCTACTGGGCATGATGGGAAGTGTTGGTGCACAGCTATTATCAGATCTCTCCAGAGATATTCAGTGGGTTCAAGTCTGGGCTCTGGCTGAGTCACTCAAGGACGTTCACAGGTGGTCCTGAAGCCACTCCTTTGTTATCTTGGCCGTGTGGAGGCCGTTGTTTTGTTGGGAGACCTTTGACTAAGTCAAGGTCCGGAGTGCACTGAAGCTGGTTTTCATCATGAATGTGTCCATCACTGCATTCATCTTTCCCTCGACCATGACTAGTGTCCCAGTTCCTGCTGCAGAAATACCATCACTTGATGTTTGGTAAAGTGATCATTGGCTTCTTGGCCATTGTGTTGTCCCTGACTAAGGCCCACCAATCCCAATTACTCAGACTGATCAGGATTCCAGCTCTGAGAAGAGTCATGGTGGTTGCAAACGTCTTTATGGATGATCGAGACCACTGTTCTCACTGGGACCTTCCGTGGTGCAGAAATTCTTCCGTACTCGTTCCCAGATCTGTGCCTCGACACAATCCTGTCTCAGAGGTCTACAGACAAGCGCTTGGACTTCATGGCTTGGTTTGCACTCTAACCTGCACTGTCAACTGTAGGACCTTAGACAGACATGTACTTTTCCCAATCATGTCCAACCAACTAAATTTAAAACTTTCAAGTTGTAACAGCTGACAAATTATCAGGGGAAACAGGATGCACCTGAGGTCAGTTTTCAGCGTTAATACATATGTTTTGTTATGTTTTTATTTTTAATAAATTTGTGAGAATTTGAAACTTTCAGACTTTTTTTTAACTTTGTCATTGTGGGAAACTGTGAAGAATGATCAGGCGAAAAATGAATTCACGCTATTTTGGAAAAAGTCTCTGACATGACACAATGTGGAACAAGTGAAGTGCTGTGAATACCGTGTGTGTACAGTGTGACTAATGTGAAACAGTGTTTTAAAACAGTATTTGTTAAACCCATACCAATCCATATTCTTATATGTTTGTGCTGTTTGTGTTTTTCTCTTTCATGAGATTTCATTTTGTCATTTTCACGACAGGTCCTAGAGGGCCAAGTGGTTACAATGGAACACAAGGTAAGCACATTTAATCAACAAGCCCGTTTCCACGACTAAAAAAAGGATCCATAACTCAAAACTTCGACTTATTTTCTCAAAATTTCGACTTGTTAACTCAAAATTTCGAGTTAGCGCTGCCAATCAGTAATCTACGTGAATGCCGTCATTTCCTCGTTACCCAGAAGCTGAAGCCCTCAGGTACAAATGCTACAGCTAAGCTACCGGTATTACATCCAGTCATGAATGCACAGATTGCTGAGTATTTTCAGCTTGGCTTCAAAAATGATAAAATCCTTGTGTTATTGGCTGAATCACATGGTGTTACTATCAGCAAACGCACTCGCTAAAGCGCCAATTTGTTGCGATCCGGTTTTGTGCGTTAGTCTGCGCCATATGCTTCCGGGTAACAAGAAAGTGACCTCATTCACGTTGATTACTGATTGGCAGAGCTAACTCAAAGTTTTGAGAAAAGTAACTTGAAATTTCGAGCTATGTTTCTTGAAATTTCAAGTTAATAAGTCGAAATTTAAAGAAAATAGCTCAAAATTTCGAGTTATGGATACGTGTTATTATTTTTTTTAGTGGAAATGGGCTTCCATAAAAGATGGAGAAAATATGACTTGGAGTCTTGTTTCTCTCACACACTGGAAGCTTAGTTTTTCCTTACTTTTTCTGGGGGTTACATATTCCACAAAAAGAGCTGGTTTTGTTAGAAAAGTTCCACTAGGCAACATCTATAAGAGATATCTCATACAGGGAAGTTTAATGTGAGAGCCAGTTCAGTAAACAAAGATCTTTATAATGAATTGAACATAATGACAGATGACCAGTAAGCAGATTGGAGGCTGATTGGCTTGAAGAAGGCAGGCAGAAATATGACTGAACTAGAGCTGTGATGTCAGCAATGAGCTTGAAAGTGTGGGAAAGTGGAAGTGATGAAAGCACAAATTAGGCGCCAAGCGCCCAGGAAGCAGACAGATGTTTGATTGTAGATCTTCCTTAATAAAATTATGTATAAGCTTCAGTCTGTTTGTGATAGATACATTTGGGTCCATGACTGACACCTTGTTGACTTAGATGTTGTAGATGTTGTTTTCTGTCATCATGCACTTCAGCTGTTTTCTGTAGGGGACAGTGTATAATGCAAAGATTTGTAAAACCTTTTGAATTTAAGTTGCAAGTCTGCACTGCAGTCAAATATTCATCGTGATATAAAATCTATTGTAGTGGTGTACAAAAGCAAAACTGGGAGAAATATGTCTTTGTCTAATAAATTATGGGCCTACTGTAATTTCATATGTCAGCTTTAATCTTTTCTCCACAGGTCTTCCTGGGCCACCAGGTACCAAAGGAGAGAAGGGAGAGATGGGAACAGAGTGTAAGTGCACTTCATGCTGACCTGAGAGCAGCGATAGCTTCAGAAACCTCAGATGTTAAACATTAAAAAATGTATTAAAGGTATTCTAATGTCTAAAGGGACATTAACCATTTTTGACAGAGAGAAAATAAAAGCCTTAGAGTGTTTTGTTATTAGATTTGTACTGATGAAAATAGCATGCAGCACAGACTCTGCACATAGTGATTCAACAAGTATGGCTGCTATATCACAGCAGAAATATCTTGATGCATGCTCAGTCATCCAGGTAAGTAAATCTCACAGCAGAAATATTTAATCGCCAGAACACAAGTTGGCTTTTTGTGAAGTAGTCACAGAAAATGCAGCGTGTTTGTCAGTTAGCATTTCCAGATTTGTCATTTATGAAATGCAAACCAACTAAATGTCTCACAGGGACATTTTTACCAGTGTTAACCATCCTGATCTCTTTCATAACAACAATGATTCCAGCAACAACAAAAACCCACTGTTAATCTTGTCACCTCAACTTTGTCCACCACAGTGACTGTGCGTCTTGTGCCAGGAAAAAACCAAGGACGAGTGGAAGTGAAGCACAACAATATCTGGGGCACTGTGTGTGATGACAGATTTGACCGTGTGGATGGCTTGGTGATCTGTAAGATGCTGGGCTTCCAGACTGTCCATTCCACCTTTATTGCCGCCCCAGGTACCAAGCCCATTCTGTCATCTAATGTTTTCAATGAATCTCAATCTTACTGCTAGAACCTTATTTTATTTATTTATTTATGTAATTTATTTAAAATGCTATTCCCAAATTTCAAAGAAATTAAATAATAAGATGTTGACTTTTTATGGTCAAATAGTAGGAAATCTCATAAAATGTAACATAAATTCATAAAGCCACATCTAATTCCAGGTGAATGTAAAATGTGTGCACAGGTTGTAAGTGTAGCACAGAATTTATAGGAACTAAAAGTATATTAAAAAAGTAAACATAGGGACTGTCAAAGCAAGCAGGTGGTTTATGTCATAGTATCACAAGATAAAGAACCTTTATGAAGATGCACAGAGACAAAGTGAAGAAAACGAAAGTAAGCCTTTATTTTGGCTGATAAAAATCTGTCAAATAAAAAAGAGCCCACTCACAAAAACTCATAGTTCATAAGCCTAAAACACTGGGTCAGAGAAAAACAGCACAACACCAGTCTGCTCTAACACTTCTTTCCTTCTGTAGGGTCTGGCAAGATCTGGCTGGATGAGCTGCGGTGCACAGGAGCCGAGGACAATATCTTTGATTGCCCTCAAGGTAAAATCGGTGTTAATGACTGCAACCACAATGAAGACGCTGGGTTACACTGTCTGTAGACTGAAGACGGAATCGCTGCTCTCATGGAATCAAGAGCAACAAAATGTTTTCAGAAACTCAGTGTTCAGTATATATCACAGGAAATATTACACATTTTACTTCACTGTTTTGCTCAAAACTGACTTTAATGATTGAGCTTTAAAAACCTGTTATGAGCTTGTGATTCAGTACTATACAAAAGCCTGCACATTAATGACGTAACAGTAATTTTCCTTATAGATCACTATAAAATATTCCTGATAAATTAACTCAGACTGGTGTTTGTAATTGCTTGCAATCTGTGACCTTGCAGCTACACCCCACTAAATACTGCACTTTGTACCGTGAGGTGGCTCTGGATACTCACACCACTGTCAAACACATCGATACACAGCTCACTGACCTGGGAGCAGTACTGAGACTAATGGTGTTCACATCTCAGTCTAATTATATATTCACACAATATATTTTATTCATTTCATTTTAATGTCAATATTTAACATATTAGCTTAAACCAATGCTTCTTACTGACTTCTCTTATGCCCCCCCCTGGAAGAAAAAAACATTTTGCACCCCCCACAACTATAAATAGTATCATTTGTCTATAAAATTGTTATATGTACACCTCGCTTTAACACTTTATCCTTATTTACATTAAAGACACAAAAAAGAAAGAAATACACTGTAGATCAACTTACAACAAAAAATAACTTTATTAACATTGTTTTTTAGTCTGTAAGAGAAAAAATTGCAACAATTTGCCTGAAATAAAAAAAGAAATTAAATCCTTACTTAAACTTTGAACATTTTTTGACCGACTTGAAAAATAAAATTGATCAAACTCAATAAATAATAATAATAATAATGAATTCAAACTGATCAGCAACATTAAATCAGGAGCACAATATATTAAACACTTTAACCTACAAAAAACAAAAATGAATAAAACAAAAGTCAGGATTAATCGCTACAATGAGCAGGTTTTGCAGTGCACATCTTTTCTAAGCGGGTTTGAAGGAGGATCCTGCAGCTCTCACCTCCTGCTCAGTGTTTAGCTGGGACCTGTCTTCAGTGCAGCAACAGCAGAGAAGCCAGTCTCACAAAGACGTTGCAAAAGGAAGAAGAACGCCCACAGCCTTCTGCCCTCAGAGTGGATACTGCTTCTCTACCAGAATTCACTCAGTGTCTGTGATGTGAACTGCAGTCTCAGTGTGGAGTCAGGCGTCGCGTCATGTCAATGAACTGGTTCTCCTCTGCAAAGCTGAAACCAGTTGAAGCTGGTGCTTTGAAAGGATCTCTCTCCCAGTCATACTGGGAACTGTTTTCATGGAAGTACTCTTTAAAGTATCCCATCAATGATGGAATATGCTGCTTAATATATGGAGTGACTGAGGCGGCATCATAGTCAGTAGTTTCAACAAATTCATGCAGGTTCTCAATGAATCTGTGTTTCCTTCATCAACTCGCCTGCCTCGCGTTGCAAGCTTTCGAGTGAAAGAGTTGATCTTGTCCCTTGGAGGTTTTTATCTTTCCCTTGAAGCTGTAGATTTAGTTCATTTAACTTTCCACTCAGGCCAGCCAGTTTTGCCAAGAAGGTCTCATCACTAAATTTTTCTGCAACTTTGCACTTGTGCTCCTGCTCCAAAAACATTCTTATCTGCTCTCTGAGCTCAAAAAGTCGGGACAAGACTTTTCCTGGTGACAGCTGCCTTGCTTCACTGTGAAACAGCACAGCTTGATGTTCGGCTCCCATCTCCTCACAGACAGCAGAGAACACGCTTGTTTTTATTGGTCTGGTCTTTATAAAATTGTCTACACCTATAATTTCAGTCATAACTTCATTTAATTCAGAGGAAAGGTGCGTTGATGCCAGTGCTTCTCTGTGTATAATACAGTGTGTCCACTCAGTTTTAGGTGAGTCCTTTTCTCATCCCTGCCATGTTTTGTGCACCATCACTGCAAATACCAATGCAGTTCTCCCACTTTAGCCCATTCTCAGCCAGGAAGCAGTCCAGCATTTTGAATCATCCTTCAGCTGTGGCTCTGTCTCTGACCTTTTTACAAAAAAGCAAGTCCTGACACAGGGTTAGTCATGTCAAATCGTACATAAGTAATAAACAAACAGTCTTTGTTGCTGTCAATTGCGTCATCAAATTGTAAGGCAAAACGTTTGTCTTTGAGTTTATCTAATGTTAGCAATGTCCTTTATACGTCTGGCGACAGTGTCATTGGACAGAGGGACTGTTTTTAACTTTGCAGCACTTGCATCAGTACGCGAGTCCGTACTCGTGTTCTTGGCGAGTCTGGACTTGCCGGGAGTCCCCTGTTCTTGCCAGGTGTTCTGGGAATCCATCCTACCTGACAAACCATCCTACCCGATGTTTCTGCACATGCGCACAACACGAAATTAAATGGCGAACTGTCCTACCTTTGTGAATATTAGCTAGAAAAATACTCTGACAGGTAAAATTAAGTGCCAAACCATCCTACCTTTGTGAATGTGACCTACAAGCATACTTTAACGGGTAAAATGAAGTGGCAAACCGTCCTGGCTTTATGAATGTGACCTACAAGCATACTTTATCAGCTAAATTTAAGTGGCAAATCATCCTGCCTTTGTTAATAAGAGCTAGAAACATACTCTGACAGGTAAAATTAAGTGCCAAACCATGCTACCTTTGTGAATGTTACCTACAAGCATACTTTAACGGGTAAAATGAAGTGGCAAACCGTCCTGGCTTTATGAATATGAGCTACAAGCATACTGTGACGGGCAAAGTTAAGTGGCACACCGTCATACCTACTTAAATATGTGCTGGAATTACTCTGTGACAGCAGAAATGGTCAAAAAATTTTTACCAGTATTGAGTCGGAGGATCCAGTTGGCTGTCCGTCAAGATACTGGGCAATCCTCGACCCAAATTAAGGCTGTTACCTGTACCGACTGCAGCCCCATAACCATCAGACGGCATCTGAGACTGAAGAGCTTAAAAAAAATGTCTTCAAAGGCCGCGTCTCCTTGAACGCCACAAGACTGACCATTTGGACTTTGCAAGAGAGCACCAAACATGGGACACTGAAAGGTGGAGGAAAGTTTTATTCTCTGATGAGATGAAATGTAACTTGATGATCCTGATGGTTTCCAACGTTACCAGCATGACAAACAGATCCCACCTGAGGTGTTTTCTATGTGGGGGCTGTAAAACAGCCACTGGCTATGTCCAGATGTTGCAGAGAGCATCCCTCATGATTGAGGACCCTTGTCTGTGTGGTAATTGATTGATTGATTGATATTTCGAGGGAAATTGTTTTAAAGGCTGCCAGAGAATACGATGCCATCATGAGCACCCCTTCCTACCATACGTAGAATACACAAACATATCATTGGGAAGACAGAGAGGTACGAAAAAACAATGCAAATACACATTACATGAGAAAAGAGGAGGAGAAAAAAAAACTCCCTCCAGACTGAGCTCCTAGGGGAGAGCAGTCGAGAACAGAAAAAAACACCTCAGCACAGAAAGCACATAAATCTTCACATCTTACATCCGCCTGCATACGTCGGGTGGGTGTAAGCGTTGGGAGGCGTTGGGTGGAGGGAGGGGGGTGAGTGCATGTCTGTGTCAGTGTACACACGAGATTTGCGTGGGTGTGTTTTCCTGTATTCATCTTGAGAGAGAATGTCCTTTCACCCGGTTGAGCAAAAGTCAGCATTCCTCCAGCTGATGTAGGTGACCTTGAAGGAGCAGATGGTCCAAACACAGTCCTGTTATCAAGGAGAATTGTTCTTCTAGCCAGTCTCAGCCTTGGGCAGCCGCATGAAGGAGATGGTTGTTTGGGTTTAAACAATGACTCCAATACATAAGTATTGTTGTGAGAGTAAAGGACCCTCTTAGTTAAAAATTCACTGTAGTATAGTATTATATGTAATAACTGCAAGTTATTCACATCCAGTTATTTATAAGCCATTACTACTCCTCCATAATATTTGTGTAATCAAAGTAAATATCTCTCATGCTTCCCTTATCTGATTTTGACTTCACAATCATTAGGGGTTATGCCAACGGGCAAGAGGGTTTTTTTCCCCTGTTCCTTTGGGTGGGCAAATGGGTCCTGAATGTCTTTTGCACTTATGCACTAGTTACAGTACTTGGCCTTCTTGGAGTCACATGGTGCTCCAACTGGTGACTCAGTCATCCTACTGGGAGACTTCAAAACTCACGTGGGCACAGCAAGACCTGGAGGGCAGTAACTGGAAAAAATGGCCTGCCTGATCTGGATCCAAGTCGTGTTTTCTTATTGGAATTCTGTGCAAATATCAATTTGTCCACACCAACTGATTGTACAAACATAAGGAGTTGGCACTATGCCCTCGGACTCAGATCGATTAATTACAATTAATTTTGTAATCTTATTGGGTGGTAGCCAGAGCAAAAACTCCTCTATGAGATGAGTTTGGTGAGGCTGTGGAAAAAAGACTTTTAGTCTGCCTCAATGAGATTCTCGCCAACAGTCAATGAACTCAGTGTATACGAGGGTGGAGTGCTGCTGATGTCAACGGAGGTGTCACGCCGAGTGAGATGAGCCGTGTGGAGATGATGAAGGAGGATCCAATCGCAGGCACTTGTAAAGGCGTGAAGGTGGTTTATTGAACACAAAGTACAAAATAGAAAAACGGCAAACGGGACTGCAGACGGTCTAAACTGAGAACAACTAAACTACAAAACACGAGCCAGAACTCAAACATGAAGGAGGAATGGCAGAGGTAAATGACGACGGACAGCAGGGAGAACACACAGACGAAGCACGGTGGACACACAGATGGACCAGCGACTACAACAACAGAAGACTTAAATACACTCAGAGAAACACAGGGAGATTACACACAGGTGGGGGACACAGCTGGAAGTAATTAACGTGCGGAGACAAGGGAGGCAAACTGAAAACACTCACATAAGACACGGACTTTCACAATAAAACAGGAAACAAGAAACCATCACTGAGAGGCAGACAGAAAATAACACATGGAACTCAAACTATACATGAGGCAACAAATCCTTAAACACGAATAAACAGAAACATAGAATCCTTTTAATAATCAACAAAGCACAAGAGCATCAAAAAGCAACTCATGATGCAAAAATAAACCAAAACATAAGAACTAAAAATACTGGGCCAAAACTGACCCATAACCGTGACAGGAGGACATAACAAGGTGGTAAAAGCAGCTGACATGTCTTCTATAGAAAAAGCAGAGTAGTCCAACACT